TCTAGAGCAAATGTTGAATTCTAATTCAAGTCATACAGTTTCCTTATAACACGGCTAATCGGTTCGTAGTGAGTGTATTACCTTGTACAATGTTAGGTGACAGTTTCAGTAAAATATTTTTGCTTAATTACAGAGGCCATTATTTGAAATAATGTACTTATTTGCACTCTAAAATTCACCCTAAAAATTTGCACTGCTATATCTTTAGAAACACAAGACCAGAGTTAATGTTGTTAAAAGGAATTTCCTTTAAAGAAAATTGGAAATTTTGTGCTTGCCAGTCAGTGGTTATATGTTACTGTAATATGTTAGGGAGCTAAGAAGAAGAGGAAGATTGAAAATGAAAAGTTTGGAGCATATGTATGTCTCCTGCATGCTCATTCATTTAAATCCTGCAACACCACATATATAATTTGAATATAATTATTTGTAACTAATTTCTAGAGCAATACAATTGCTTTCCTTAAAATACATAAGAGTAAACATTAAGATATGTATAAGAGAGATTTCAAAATATGAAAACTTAGAAATCTTTTTTCCCAGTCAGTATGCAGACATTATGGTGACAAACACACCCTAAGCTTTTAGTTAGTTTACATTTTGAATTAAGAGATTTCAAGGTGGGATGTTTTCCCAAAGGTTTCTGCAGTTAATCCTTAGGAAGCAATAGATAAAAGATAATCAGATCCAAATGATTTGTTACTAATCATCCACAGAACACAGGCTCATCTTCTGTGTGATAAGGTTGAAAATAAGTTGTTAAATTCAAGAGAAGCAGGTAGTAATTTTGTCATCACCTTATCTTCCTTTGAGTCAGTGATACTCAGAGTTTGAGTATCCACCTTGAGGGGAGGGGTTGGTCCCTGCTGATAATTATTTTGTTTTAGAACTGGAAATGCAAATAATTGGAACTAATCTCTGTATGGCTTTTTACTCTCTGGACCTGGATTATTAAACTCTGAATATTTAAACCCACTTACCCAGACAGACTCACAAGATGCAAGCAGTACTTGCCAAATTTTACTGAATTTCCTGATTTATTGTTCTAATTAAAGCATTCCAATAGACCAATATCATTCAATGATGCAATCCTTGTGTGATCCTAGTCTATCCATGCAGTGGCAGTCTGCTCTAAGACACTCCCAGTTGAATAAGGTACCTGACAAAAAGTATAAACAGCTGTAATGCCCTGCAGCGCAGACAGATCATTTCCACATTCAGTGGAACCAAGGGGTTTGTGAATTAATGGCTGTACCCTTCTTTGGAAGGTAACAGTTTAACTGTTTATTCTGATATTCTCAAAGGACTTCAGTTCCTTGTTTTGTAAATCAAAATGTTTTTTCGTTGTGATGCGTTTTACCTCTGGAGTCGGAAACTGGAGGTAAAAGGTTTTTTTTTTTTAATATCTTCTGATTTTGAGGCATTTGTTATAATGCTTAATTACAGTAACCATAGCAAGATTACACACCCCAGGGAAGCTCAGAAGTATCTAAACAACTTATAAATACTAAAACTTCTTCTGTAAGTCCCAGTTGAATTGAAAGTCACCAAGTATGCAGAGCAGGAATAAGGAGGAAATTCAAGCTTTTTCTTGCATCAATCATAAGACTTAGTGTAGCACTAATTATTAATACTAATACTTGTAAAAACAGCATGATACTCCTAACAGATACCAGTGTTGGCTGTTTTTCCTTCACTGAGCTGCACTGCAGTCTTCGTGCCAGGTGTTAGTGCTGCCAGTAAAATTTTATTGAACATGCCCCTCCAAACAAAGCAGAGGAAGATGAAAGATACTGATGGTGGAAATGGGTGATCCATAGTTTGGAAGTGTATGAGAGTAAATATGAAGGATCAAACAAAACTACATTGTTTGCCGTGCTGAGCCACACTATCAAGAGGAAGTGTGAAGGGGTATCTTTTAAAAGAACTAATTTTATAAACCATGCATCACTAGAGATTGAAGGAAATGCCAAACAAGAAAAGAAATTTCTGTATTGAGGGAGAAAAGGAGGTATTAAAGAGTACAGAGATAACTATAAGTCAAGTCAAGACTTTAAGTTACTTTTGAACACCCTTCAATAATTCCTGCTCTGCTTAATATAGGTCTTTTCTTTCTTGATATCAAGAAAATTATACAGGAGTTAGCTGGAGAGCTAGCTTTTGCAGAACAATGTCTGAAATGTGAGGTCAGGGATGAAGAAAATCACAGGCTTTAAACTGAAGATGGATAAGACAGAATGAAGTCAGTACAAAGACATGTTTTAACACATTCTTCAATAGGTTTAGTTCAGGAACAAGCTCAGAACACAGTTTGTCAAACTGAGGGGAAGATGATCTTGCAATTTCCATTTGTTCTGTATACCTCCTATTTCCAGTAAAAGAAAATTCTTCTTTGCTTGAATACTTGTATGACTACATAGTTGGTGGGTTTATCCGATATTGAAAAGAAGCTGAGTAGAGTGAGCTGGTTGACCGCTTTAGGACTATTCCTTGCCTATTCAGCCAGGCCAACAATTCCCTTTAACGAAACTCCTTTCACAGACATAGACAGGTATGGGGCTTTGCAGGATTACAAAAGAAGCCAAATGACCCCCATTCCAAGGGGTGGACCTGTTGGTCCGTTTCAGTTTGCATGTTTTCTATACAAAACAAGAACTTTCTGGGCTACTGTATCAGTCTCGAACTCAAAGCTATTCCTGAAATTTTGAATTGAAAAAGCTTCCTGGATGGTAAGCAAAACATCTTCAAACTTGGAAACAAAGTCCAGTGAATTGTTTTTTTAACTGTTTTGGATTGACCGCTTTGGGGTATGTTGAGGAAACAGATCGTTTCCAAATGTGAATCAAAACAAGTGAAAATGATTGTGGATTTCAGGAGAAACAGATACAAGTCAAATGCTATTACTGTACCTACATGGAAAATGTATAGAGGTGGTGGAGGAGTACAAATAACTTGGTGTTTACCTGGATAAAAGACTAGAGTGGAGATACAACTTTGAAGCCATCAAGAAGAAGGGGTGTAGCACACACTATAGCTCTTAAGTACCTTAGGTCTTTCAGTGTGAAGCACTATACTGAATATAAGGCTGTTGTGGAGACTATACTCTTCTGCCATAATCTGCTGTGGTAGTAATGTGAGAGCAAACAACTGAAGCTCTGATGCTGCTACTGAATTTAAGCTCTGAAGGTGTGTTTACACCAAGCGCAACCCCTGTAAAAATGCTGCTACTTTTGCCTGTTTTTCATCGCCTTGAAAGTCCAAAGCCTCTATAGCTAGCCTGCTGAAGATCGAAGGAGGTTGATGGTAGATCGGATAAGTTTGCCAGGCAGATGGAACTGCTGAAGGTGGGAAGAGGCTCAGGTGGCCAGGAGGAAATTGGTAAATTGAAGTGTCTGTCGTGGAGGTAGGACGATGAAACAGTCCTTCTGATACTGAATTGTAAAAGAGCTTCTTTAAAAGCCACCCACAAAACTCTTAAGAGACTCACCACTTAATCGTTTGTCAACATAATTTTCTATATTTTCCATTATGATTAATAATAGCTTTTCTCCACTTCCTCCTTCACTGTAGATCACAGCCACATCTAGTCCCTGATTGGATCTTGCAACGTAAATGTAAAAAAAAACTTTGTTTGTTTTCAACTCATTCAAATTTAGCTTTACTAGATTTGAAGACTCAGTGATGAATTAATTCTGTCATTCGCATAGATACATTCGCCACATTTACCTCACTCCAGAGCTTTCTACATAGAGGTAGCATGAAAATCCTTCCTTTTTGCTGCAAAATTCATAAAATTTCTAGAAACACGAAAACACATCCAGTTGCATTCTGCTTACAACACTAACCTAGCAATGGTCGGGTATGTTGTGCAGATTATTTTTTTTTGTTTCTTTGCACAAATTTTATGACATATATATATATATATATTTATTTTTTTTTTTTTTAAACAACAATTGAATTACATAGCACTAAAAAGACTTGCTTTCTTCTTTTGCATTCACTTTTCATCTTTTGTTTTTCTTATTTTTATTTCTTTGTTAGTGTCCTGTCTGGCAATGTGGCAATCAGAATAATTGTATTGATGCTAAAAAGAGCCCAACAGATTTTGCTTTCTCAAGTGGAGCAGTACGGCTATCGTCATAGTGTTCCACTTGATTTATGCATGTAAATAGCTTCAACATAATTCATTCAGGGAGTATTACAGATTGTATGGACAATGCAATGGGAAAGTAGAACTGGAAAGGAAAAACAGGAAAAAGGAGAGAGGAGAAAAGATGAAAGAAAGAGGATACCAAACTGAGACAATGATAAAACGTCTTCTTCCTGCCTCATCACCTGCAAAGACAGATGTAAAAAGTTCAATTTCACCTTCAACTGAAAATTATGTCATACCTACTGATCTTTATTTCTCATTAAATTGGTGGATAAACTTATTTTTGTATTTTCTCTCTTTTTCTACAAAAATAAAGATAAAAACTATAAGGGAACAGAAAAAAAAAAAACACTTACAGTAAGGGCATTTTTGTGAGTGAAAATCTCTCCTGTGTTGAAAGCTTTCCTAAATATATGGGACTTGTTAGTAGAATATTGTCAAAAATGCCCAGCAGATGTACTGAAGTCTAATACCCGTATATGAAGTGGGCTTTAAGCTTGAAACTCAGACACTTCACATAAAATTAACTTGGCAGATCAGAAACCTAATTCTAAGGTTGACACCCAAACCGCAGTTCCTTTTGTTTGGCATTAGCTGTGTACACAATACACTTATTTGCTCTGCTCCATTTTCCTCTCCAAGAATTAGCCTAAGGGTAGGGTTTATGAATTCACTGTGCTCACCGTGCCACCCCTGCCTTCTCATTTACTTAAATGGTGTCACCTCTCATTTCTTTGTGAAAGTAAACAGGCCTTTAGACTTCTGTCTGCTTATTGGCCATAAGCATGATTTTTTTTTTTTTTTCATAGAAGGGGTGGTGCTTAAAACTGACTTCCGCAGACTTCCTCAAAACTCTTGGAGTGGAACTTTCCTGTCAAACAGCTTTGGGTATAACTGTTCCTGACTATTATAATCCTTTACTCTTAGCAGATAAGCATCAACAGAGCTAATTTTCACGTGAGATTTTGGAGTGAGAACAACTGATTACACTGAAGTATTACATGGAATTCTGCTTTGGACATTAGCTGTTTGAATACTAAGGTAAAGTATAAGATAGGTAACTTATATTAGAATAGTGTACACCATTACAGTTTTCTGAGAATAAAAATTGCAGGTAAATCATACAGAAGTTATAATTAAATGTGGTTCATGTGTATGTGCTCATTTAACTGTCTTAAGATTTTCTGATAGAACCAACCAGTTATTGTAAGAAAAGCTTGAAAACATACTCAGAAGTGTCCATATATAATGTGGACACTCCTCCATTTGTACCAGCATGGAAATAAGAGAATGTCAACAAAAGGTTTCCTTCAAAAATGAAGACAATGGAGCAGATGTATAAAAAAAAAAAAAAAAAAACAATTGGCTTTTTGTATTAAACAAGAGAGTGAAAGAGAGAGAAAACCATTGACCCATGTTTCACTTCTGTCATATTTTTAGGCTAAACACTTTAGAATGTGCACTTAAATCCTTCAGCAATTTTTTTTTTATTAGCTCCTCTGTGTTTAACAGGTAGGAGAAAAACATAGAGTAAAATAAAGAGCCAAGTTCAGAGGATACTTATTTTTGAGGTATAAGGCTTTTATAATCTTGTTGAAACACGTACACACAAAGTTGTACTTTTTGAATCTAAGGAGAAATGGGTTAGTCTGTGATTAGCAATGCTTCATTTCCTAACATCCAAACACTCTGTTCCCACAATACAGTCACATGCTCACCAAAGATTATGCCCCGACCTCTAAGGAGCAAATCCATGTGGTACTAAGGCATTTCTGAATCTATGGCATGAATTGTACTAAAGGGAAAGTAGGTTGTGAGTTTAAATTACTTTTACAAAACAAATTAGCTTTTTCTAGTATATGCTATTCTACTCTAACTTTGACAAAATAGTACCAAGTACCCTTAAAAAAATTTATAAAAATATATAATTGTATATATACATTAACTAGTAATATTGTTGTACATATAGGTTGTTTATCTGTATTTAAGTGTGTTTTATTTATCATTTTTTTGGGTTGGTTTTATCTTTTTCATTTAGATAAGATTTACTGTGGATCCAGGACAGATTTTCTCTAAGAAAAACAAAAACAAAACTAAAGTTCATGGTTGTGTTTGCTGATAAATCTAATGGCCAAATCTACCCCAGACAGTCTGACTTGCAGACAAACAAGCAATTTAATTAATCATCATGTTTTTAGATAGTTATAAATACTCTTTTTGTAGGGAAAAAGTAGTTCAATGTTATGATTTTATCTGGCCTAGTTCCTACAGTATATTTACAAAAAACAATGCATTCATGAAGGTTACAAATTATAGTATTCGGAACGGAACATTTTCCGTAACAAAAACATATGTATAGTACAAACAGGAAGTCCTGCAGAGACCATTTCCCCACTGATCTGGTTTTATTAATGTCTTTCAAAAGAAATTCAGAAGGGGTTCTAAAAGCAAAATTTTCCATCATGTCATCTATGGTATATAACATAATGAACTATTTGCACTGGCTCTCCAGAGTAGAATTTCCCTCTGGGATTATTAAAGTATGTCTGATTCTGAATAGTCAGGATTAGAATGTGATTCGGCTCTTTTTGAACCTTTATCATCACATGTCCATTTGTATCCATCGTATGGCTTAACAGATTCATATCATCATAATTTTCTTTTTCATAAATTATAGTTTCCTCATTTCCTCAAATACAGGCTGCAGCCTTTTCCATTGATTATTTTTTTAAATCCTGTTTGTGTCAGTTTGTGCTTAAGAATATGAGTCTTTAAACCTCTTATCAAAACAAAAATAACTTAGACTTTTGGGAGTTATATAATGTATTGAAGTCTAGAAACAATATAACAAGAGAACTGAGTACAATGTGGAGGACTGTTTTAAAACATTGTGGGTGTTTTAGAATATTTGTGCACAGTTGGCACAAAATTGGATGCTGATCTTCAAAAGTTCAAAATAAATTACCAGTAAATTTTTTTTTAGTACGTGCAATAATTTTGCATATTATGAATTAGCTACTAAGAATGCTGTGCAAACCAGCTTTGTTCGCCATAATATAATTAAGAGGATTGTGGTTTCTAAAGGCAGTTTATTTAATAAATAAAAAAGAATGAGGTGTTAAGCCATGTGGTCATAATAATAAAAAGTATTAGAAAGTTTATATTTTATTATATCATTATTACCGGTATACTAAATAATATTTATAGAGCACTTTATATAGGTAGCTGTTCTCTAACCACAACAGCGAAAAAAATAGAACAATGACAATAACTGCTTTTAAATATAAGAAAATTAAATTTCATAAAACACGAGAAAGTTGCATACTGTCATAAATATTTCACAACATTTTAGTTCAGTCATTATTTTGTTTTGTTTAAACTGAATAAAGTTTGTCTGTGGTCTCATTATTAATCCCTTATTTTGTGCCTCCCTGCATAGACAATTTCTTGTTACGGTAATATTACTAGTACTCTTATTTCTGATTGTCCAAATTTGTTTGCACCATCAGGACCACAAAATCTCTCCATCACTTGGAATTATAATAATGCCGTCTTTGTGAAAACAATGACAGCTAGTAGTTTGCAAGTGAGTTTTCCCCTTGCTTTCAGAAATACTAAAAATGACACAAAAACTGTGACCAAAGTTGACTATCAGATTTGAAGAATAGATTTCCTATACCTTCACCCATAAATCTGCTGAACTGCAAAAGCAAATTATTTTGCTCCTTTACTGAGAACCTGCTCTGCACGAACAAATGAGTTTGCATGTGTATTAAGACTCACAAACCTTCCAAAGATTAGGCCCTATAACTGTGAAAGTTAGCATGAAACTTTTCACAGTAGATATCATTTAAACATCTCCCATCTCTCTGAAAATAAGATTTTTGGGTTAAAGCGATTGATCTTTGATGCCATCTCAGCTCTTTAACTTTTTCAACTTCTTTTCCAAAAGAGTACAAACATGCTATGCAGGTTTTCTAGGATTTGAAACCTTCAAATCTGTGTATTTGTCACAAGCGGGAAAAAAAAAAAAAATTATATTATGATAAAGCCCTGGTGCAAAATGTGATTGGTAGTGCCTTCTTATGCATGGAGTGTTTGTACTGTATATGCAAGTTCTTACATTTGCGCAGGAGATTAAGACAAAAAAACAAAAAAAGTGGATGTGTTAAAAGAAACTAAAAACAATAATTGTTCTTTGGATTTTAGACTGTGTACGGGGCCATATTTAAGCATTTACTGTTTGCTGGTGTTCTTCCACTACCTTGTTTAAAAACAAGGCATTGTACTTCATTAAAAACTTCTCCAGATTGTATATAAAAAAACTGGTCATTCAATCTATTTGGTATTTAGAAATATTACACCACGATCAAGGAGAATGTTTCAACTTGGTTGAGGGCAGTGTGGGGAATAGGAATGTTGTGTCTTTAAAGAAGCAGAAAAAATGTCATAACAGAAGTTATTGACAGTTTAGAAGTCCTTTCAATTAAAACTTTCTATCTTACAACCCACACACTGTTGTGTCATTATGGTCCTCTTAAGTTTCTTCTTTTTTTTTTTTTAGAATCATCTCATCAGCCAGGATCACTACATTCAAAATCTTTGAGTTCTGAAGAGAAGAGATTTCCACAATGAAAGATCGATTGGAGGAGCTGCAACAGAGGGCTCAAGAGCTGTCTGAGGCAACAGCCGACCCTGCTAATCCTTTCTCAGTGGAGGGTGATGGAGATGAATCTGTGGAAGTTGGAGGCATTTCACAGATGGCCGTGGTGTTCGAAGAAGAGCCGATCATTCAGAATTTTCTCTCTGAGGCTCAACAAATAAGAGATGACATCTCAACACTTGAAACAGAGGTTAAGTAGCAAAATTTAATTCTCTGGCTAATTTCTTAATTCAAGAAACTATTTAACACTTTGTCATGTTTCACTTTTTTTTTTTTTTTTCCCCTGGGGGGTTAGAAGATATTTTTCCTCCATTTTTTTTGTACATCTTAAGAAGTTGCCATTTCTTAATTTTCCTAAGTTGAGCATTTCTAAGCAAAATTTTGGGGAGTGGCGGCCTGGTGTTTAGGGCATTGCACTTGGAATCCTGAGGTTCTGATTTTAAGCCCGACTCCCACAGACTGCTACTCTGGGTCCCTGAGCAAAGACCCTTAACCTCACACTACGCCCTAGGTGCCGCACAATGGCAGCCCACTGCTCCCCTAGGACATGTGTTGAATGCACAGTTAGTTTTGTTGCTCTGTACTTGTGACAGTGTAATGACAGTAAAACACTGGAAAAAAATAGTTGGTATTGCAATTGAATTTAATTTAAATTCAGGCCTAGGCCCTTACCATAAGGTTTTTGTGACCTGATTATGTTTTGATCTTAACCATTTAATTGTAGCTCCCTGTTGGGAGCTGAACCTCCTATTCAGTCTTTCGTCTTCTGTAGCCTCTACTTTCTATCAGAATTGCCCTTTTTTTCCCGTTGTATCCATTTTCTGATCATCTCCGATAACATTTACTGATCACACTGGAAAAAGCCACCTTGACTACGTTCCAACTTGATGACTTCATTCTGCAACACCATCTTTTAACTCTGGAGATCTGGTGTTCAGGATGGCGCCTTCCTTCCAATATTTGTTATTTCATGTGGGCAAATTTAGGTATCATTTGACCAGCATATCTTGCCCTACTTTTTAAATGTGTCGCTTAAATATTGTATCCTGTAGCAAATAACAAAAGGCCCAATCTTTATTGTTCTAGTGTTCCCATTTTTTTAAAAAGTTGTTCATCAGTGCTTAATATTGCCATTTAAAATGTCCAATGTTTGGAGCATCATTGCATGTCCTTAACTTTTTAAAAGTTGTACTCAGCCGAGTAGACTCTGTGTTGCTTGGTCTTCATAATGCTTTTTAGTAATAGAATAATCAGCACATGTAAATACAAAATGACATTTATATTAATTAAAAAAATCAACCGTAATTAAAACCTAGACACAAATATTAAACATTCTAAAATCTGTAAAGCGTGTCAAAGACAAAGAGATTTTATAGCACTTTGGACTAAGGAAACATTGTACTAAAAGCACCTAATAGTTTTTAACCTATTTCACTTTAAGTATAAGAAGTTCTTCTGAAAGGGGTTCACCCCTGCCAAATATCATGGCGTTGGTTTTTTTTAACAATCTGTGTTTTCCAGATATCAGTAAAGAGTTGCTTTCAAATGGCAGTTATGTTAAAGGCAGTTTTAACAAGACAGGACAGACATTGATATCCTTTAAAGAGAATGTGCTATAACAACCAATACAATACAATTAGACTCATAAAAATAACATTATAATGGAATTGTCTGTATTATCAATTCTGACAAGTTCAATATAAATTAACTTTTCTTCATGCCGCTGGCTACAGTATGTGTGTTGGACAAATTTATGAGATTGTCCACAGTTTTTCAAAGTTACTTGTACAGCAAGGTGGAGAAATTTTCAATATCTTTGACCATTTCCTTTGTTTTACTGATATTCGGCCTGTAGTAATGTTTATCACTTCACATATAAAAGATGTGTGTTTTGAGTCTTTTTTCTGGAGTCAAATGAAAAAAGGAGTCTTGGTGTTCACCATTTTTATCAGATCAGAAGAAGTTAATGGAAACTGCGAAATTATAATAAATTTCACAGAAAAAAATGTTGGCATGATTGAGGTGGTTATTTACTGAAAAGGTGATGAAAACACATTTGTCAAATAAGTGCTGATGTAGCCAACAGTTTAGTCCCATCACTGATGAGCATTTTCCATTGATGGGGTCCTGAATGCAAACATCAACCTTGTCTATCATCACTTATACCAGTTTATATTATAAAGTAGGCAACCTTACCAATGGCATAACGACACAACAATAGACCTTTAAGCAAAATTATCTGGGTGGGCCCCATAGAAGTTAAACGCGTGATAAAGGTTCAGGATACGGTGACAGCTCCATAAATCGGCCAAGAAGATACTGTACAATTATGCAATTCTCAGTAGTATATGATCACACATGGAAAAATAGAGACTGCTCACCTTTAATGGAACCATTGGTGACAGCGCACCACCACATGTTAGCACAACCAGCCATCGGGTGAGCTTGAGCTTCATAGCCCCCCTCCTCACCCACGCTCTCTCCATTCATCTTCTGGTCGCAATCTTTACTAACTGTAGAAGCAACGTCCACCTCTCCCTCTTCGGTTCTTTGAAAGAACCTGTTTATTTTGGGAATTTTTTTCCCGTTCTTCCAGCAGCTCTTCTTTCCTTTTTCTTTTCTGCAATCCACTTAAGTACCTCTTTTTGGTATCCATCGTCGCTAACACATTTTACGTAACGGTTATGGTTTTAATTTACGCTCTGGGTTACCCATAATTCCAAGTCGTAGTGTATAAACGATAAAATACTGAAATACATCCATCCTCTTAAGATCTTTATTGCGGTTTGAAACATAATATAGGAGTATTTTTTACCAACTGTCTAAGGAACTATAAACAGTTATTAACATAGTAATTAAAAGTACCACTGTTTGCTTTGCCATTGGTGTTGTGTTTAAACAACTCACCATCATGTTGAAATCTGCAAAATGTTGCGGTATAAATATGGTCCGAGTGGTATGAAATTGGTCCGATCAGTCACTTCGGTATCAGGTGGGTTTAAGACGAATATGGCGCACAATAACATCTGCAAAGAGACGTCCTGGTCTACAATTGCGTAGGAGGGCAACCAGGTGTCAGTGATGGGGCCCCTAAGAGGTTGTGGGCCCATAAGCAACTGCTGTCTCTGCTTACCGATATTTACGCCATGAACTTTACTGATTGAAACACGTTTAAGTCCATTATCAATCTGTGCTCTGGACTTTACTCCTAATTCACAATTTCTTTTTTTGACATTTCAAAAGTTCACTCAAAATCTATGATACTTGGATGGAAACATGGCAAGTATCATCTGCAAACTGTAGAAGGTGCTTGTTTATCCGAGGGCTTCACCAAGAAACTGCATTTATACTGAGATAAAAATAAACAGAGGTCTACTTCCTTATGTTATTTTGTAGGTAGTCTGTCGGAATGCATATACAGTATTAAGATATATTGGTAAAGAAGATATTAGAGTAAAGGAGGTTGAATACAAACTTACTACTGTTGAAATTGAATACATATTTTTTAATAAATGTTTAATTATTCTTCAAATTACTAATTAGATGTTTTGAGGTGAAATACAGTAATTGAAGTAAACTGAAGTTTGTGCTTGTGACATATCTGTAACCTTCGATAAATGGTGGAAAGGTGCAAGAGGTATGAATACTTTCATCAGGAAATGTTAATTTCTGCTTTTGACTGTCTGTTTGGATGAGAATCAATACTGTGGAATCTAATATTCAGCAAAAAAGACTAGTGAGAGATTTTAGAAGACACTCTGGATGTGATACTCATACTAAAATATTGTGTCTATTGCTATAGGTCCTGAAGTTCTGTCAGCAGCAAAAGAGCCTGGTGGCAACCATGCGCCGCTTTAGTGTGATGAAGAAAGAGAGCAGCATAACGCGCGACATCAAGCTAAAGGCCGAAAGCCTCCACCGTCGTTTAGACGCCCTTTCAAAACAAGCCCAAAGAACTGAAGACCAGCTGGGAACTAATGCTGTTGCAGTGAGAATACAACACGCCCAGCATGCAGCTCTCTATCGCAGATTTCAGCAGGTTAGAAAGGGTATTGTTTGCATTTGATATTTGAAACAACTTTGTTTTGGTAGCTTTATGCTAAAGCTGTCTGAATTCACTTGAATATAGCTTGGAGATGTTCTGTATGAATGCAAAAACAATAAAACCAAATATAATCATTTTAAGGGTATATAATAAATAGATTGTCTGTTCTATGTATGAACATGTCTATAAAGGTATATATAGTATATACCTGTGTAGTTATTCTGTGTTTTTTTCTAGACACCAACTTGGGTAAATGCACTGTGAATGCAAAGGGCATTTGCACATAAACATGAATTATGTTTATACAGTACTAGAAAAGATGGGGATAAAAAACCCTCTCATTCCTTAACTCCCCTTCTCATTTTCTCTTTTGCTATAATTACTTCCAGGTGATGCTCCAGTATAATGAAGGTCTGCTGACCAAGCAGGAGCGCTGTAAAAACTTCATTATGCTGCAACTGGATGTATTGGGAAAGAATGTTACAGAGGAGGAGGTGAATGAAATGGTCGCAACAGGAAATTGGGAGGTGTTCAACGAGAACTTAATAAATGATGCCAGAATCACACGGTCACAACTGTCTGAGATTGAGCAGCGACACAGGGTAAGAGAAAAAGAAAAAAAGGGTCAAGAAGCCTTTAGAAATGTTTACTAAATAATGTTACTTTTTTAAATAGTTCCATGCTAAAATGGCAAACTATGAAAAAAAATATCATCATTAAAGTACAAATATGTTTCTTAACTGGTGTCATATTCACATTGGATTATCAGTTCACATTTTGGATGTTGGGGTGGCAAATTTGGAATGTCTTATTTCAGAGAATGATCAAACTCCTGTCTTAGGTTCTCCATTACTGCTTTTTTTGGCTGTTTAATCAGAATTCTGTGTTCGAATGTTTTCTAACAATCCTAGGAGCTCAGTTATAAATGCTGGAGGTCTCTCCACTTTCAGCACCGGTTTCAAATGCAATGTGGAAGAGAACATAATTAGTATAATTTGATATAATTTTATCAGGAGGAAAATTCTAACCTGGTATGGCTGCTTGTCTGCATAAAATGTCAGAAATAATTAAGCATACAGATTTTCTAATCTATACCTGCATTTTGGCAGTAAGTGCACTTCTCTCTGGCTTCGTGCCCCACTATAGGAAGCATGACAGCTATCAAGCTATCAATCTTGTTCTTTCAGTTGATAGATTAGGTCTGTTTTTGTTTTATTCTTTAATTTTCTATTATTTGTACCAAAAGCAGAAGCAGCCCTGCATTTAAAAACCTTAAAATAAAGTTAGTGAAACCACTATGAAGTAGGTGTGAACATGGTTACGCTGGAGGCGTACCCATGGGGTTCACTCTTCATGGATAAACTAACACTGCTGCAACCAGGCTTCTTCAAACAATAGAATATTTGGGTCATACTAAGGCTATTTATGGTGCTATGAGAGTAAAGTCATCACCTTATAAGAATAAAGTCCTGGCATTACTAGAATAAAGTTGCAGTATACGAGAGTAATATCATGATATAATGAGATTACAGAAGTAGCCTACATCTATGTAAACGCTTACAGGAAAGTAATAGTTAGATCTAGAGTAAGAAAAGCCACTAAAAAAGAGACTAATTTGTGCCATGTAAACCACACATTAGTCTGTAAAGGAGTGGGTAGAGCCTGATTGAGGAAACAGTTGTGATCAGACAACCCCAGATGCGAAACAAAAAGATTTAAAACTCTTACAGCAGTTGTTCAAATGTTGACTATATAAACAGCCTCTTTTTAAATAAAGGGCATAATTAAAACGTTCTCCATTAAGGCTGCAATCTTGACTGCTATGATTAATGAAAAGGGATGTTGCATTATGAGCCCACTTCCCACCTTGTAATCGTCCAGCCTGCTTTAGACCGAAGGGTGTAGAGCCTAACCAAACTGACTTAAACTCAATAAAAAATGTTATTAAATTTTCAGCTCAAGCTGCATTTTGGTTGAGCTTGTTTGACTCTATTAAAGATTTCTTCTAATCAAAATGACTTAAGTGCCTCATAAATTATGATTTTACATTCACTTTTCTCATATTATTACAACCTTAGTCTTGTAATATGGTTTTATTCTTGTAATGTTGAAACTTTATTCTTAAAACGTAACATTTATTCTTGACATTAATTAACTTGTAATAAAGAGCAAAAATAACAAAAACTCTTAGTATGGGCTTAATACCTTGTTGCATTCCCACACTTAACAGTTAGTCATACATTTAAAAGAATAATCATCATTTTACCACAAATGAATGAAGAATAACAGGGAAAATCTATCTTGTTATATCTATAGCAGGGAGCAGACTATGTACAGACTAACTGCACCAATAATACATTTGATATTGTGTTCTTAATCCAATGTGAAGGGAGCCTAAGGATAAAGAAACTTTTGACCATATATCTTAAAGCATAGGTTAAATTTCTAAATCTGAAACCAGGTTAAATAAAGAGTCACTGCAAACGTATAGATTGTGTTCTTCTATTCTAATTGATGTTGGTCTTTGTATATTTTATAACTATTATGTTTTTTTCCCCCTAACATTAAGGAACTCTTGAGCCTGGAGAATAATATGAAGGAATTGAGGGACCTCTTCATGGATATCTTCATGCTTGTAGAAGAACAAGGGGCTGACATTGAACACATTCAAACCAATGTTGAGAGGACACAAGATTACGTTGTTGTCATAAATGAGAAGTTCAGGGCAGCTGCGAGGTATAAGAAGAAGAACCCGATTCGTCAGCTGTGCTGCTGCTGCTGTCCTCCCTGGAGATGTTGTTTGTGAAACATGAACATTTTCTGCATCACACTTTCTCCAAAATAGGGTTTTATTTCAAAAAGTTGCGACTAACTTGGAATTCAGCAGCACAAGTGACATTAAAGGGAAGGCAAAGGTATCTGAGCTGATGCTGCTGCTAAAAAAGAGCAATGGTGAGGAGAGACGCAGCAGAGCACAGAAAACAATTAGAGAGAAGGGCAGGAATTGTAATGGGGAGGCACTTGTTTCTTTCAGGAGGAGGTGAAGCGACTGCGATTGGAAGAGACAGTTCAGTGAGTTCTACTCACCAACAATGTTGCTTATTGGAAACCTTCACTGTCATCTGACAGAGGTCACAAACAGGAGGAGGCTACTGACACTGCTGGATCAGCAAAACCTATATTCTAACAATTTCTTCCTGAAAAACAAAAATGATTATATATGTATTTTTTCCCTCCCTGTGGGGTTCCAGGTAATGAGTAGAGGAATTTTCTTCAACTGATGCACTTTAAGATGTTCCTTTTTATTATTAAGAGTATAAGACAAACTTGTATTACAGTTTATAATTATTCCTGGTTGCATTTCAGAGTATGATTTTTTTTATTTTACTGTTTCATAAGGACATATATTCCCTTAATAATAGGCAATGTTAAAAGCATTTCTGGCATTTAATTAAAGATTTTAATATATAAACCATAAGAAAATCTCTATTTTTTATGTCAAAGTATAAATTTTAAATCATGCTTTATTATTTTTTTGTTTATGAGACACAAGCCATCGAACTTTGCTTTGATTTTTTTTTTTTCATGTTCTACAGTGAAAAAAGGAGCAGTGGGCTTGGGAAAATAGCAAACAATAATTTGATCTATTTAACTCTTTACTGAAATTTTCTGATCTTATTTACCCGGATTATTCTGAAACTATTAATCACACCTTCAGTTAGGTAATGAAAAGCAAAGGCTAAGTAATAAATTTCCTGTTAGTCTGGCTCCATGATGAATTGACCTCTAATCAGAAGAGATGACGGTGTTCCTCTGTGACTCCATGAGCGACGGTGTCCGGTGTCTATGGCAAAATACAGGTGCAGCTGGGTGTGTGAAAGCCAGCCTGGAAAATCCAGTTGGATCACTATTCCCAGATACCTTGGAACAGCTGCCTGTTTGAAGTAGTGTATAAACAGCACTGTTAAGCACTAACAGACTGTAGAATACATTCACTGCTATGAATGTTTTAACTTCCCATTATTCTGTCTCATAATCACCAAGAAGAGGATTATTTATTTCAAATCTGTTTATTGACATCCCAGTGACTTTGACAAAATCAGTTGAAGCAGTCTTTATGGAAGTTTTTGTTATTATTTTTTTTTTTCTTTGTTTGTTTTTTCCTTTGGTTAAGATAACAGGGTATGACACATAGACGATTGTGAATGTCTTCTGCCTCCAATGTGAAAAGTATTTTCAGGAAGCTGCTTCTCTGTGTCGTACATCAAGTTTCTCAAAGATTAAGATCACAACATGAAAGCAAAATAAGAACGGACCAGATAACCCATTTTCAACATGTTAACCAGATCAGACTACATGTAATGCATAGTTGATACCTTTCCCCTGAGATTGGGAATTAAAATGAAGCTGCTAGTTTAAAGCTTCCTGAACAGCAACAATGCCATCCAGTGTTCAACACGATAACTACTAGTTTAATACGGATTACCACTTATCAAAGCTCAAGGGCATACAGACAATAGTTTGTGGTGTCAGAAAAAAGTGCAGACATTTACACCAGATAAAGAAAAATGTGTCTATTAGTTTTCTAACAGGTTAAGTCTAGGACGTTTCTTTCATTGATTAAAAAACGACTACATGGAAGACCGCTAAAACTTAAGAGACTTTTATAAAAGTGTTTACATTATAATCTATACATAAAAAAAAATCTAAGATACAAATATAAACTACATTTTTGGAAGTAATGCAATACTTAAAGGAATTATTGCGTGGATTTCAAAATGGCCCCATGCTTTTCACCCGAGCATGTCTGTAGAGTGTTAGAATGAAGGACATACAGTAACAGAGATGGAAAAAAACAACAAAAAAAAAATTCAGCCACAGGAGAGAAGTGATAACTGTCTGACCTGCTGGTTAAAGCAGGGTGCTGTGCAAAACCTTAGCTACATCTCCTATGTTTTGTCTCTATACAGTGTGCTGCACTTTTTTCTTACATTTCAAATCTATTTGGTTTATCCGTCCTGCATATAATAATATACTGTTATCAAATGCTTAGCGTAAATTATTTTTAATCTTACTGAAGAGATGTTGAAGTTTTTCACAAAATATGATTATTGCTGTGATTTATGACCCCCTCAAATCTTCATAGATTGACACAAATAGTTTTTTTTATTGTTTCCATTATAACCTGTTATATTTTGTATTACAAATTTTATTCAACTGAACTTGTTGGTAGTCTATGATCACATTCTTCAAAACGTGATACTACATCAGCTCTGCTACCAGTTGGACTGTTAGAAGCTAACTTGACTTCAACGTTAAATCAAGTGCAGTTGAAAAGAGTCTGAATTTGAAACGATGAATTGTTTGCTGCTTTTATTCTTCACCCCCAAATTATGGTTTACCACCAAATAAAATAACTATCTGCACTGCTGAATGTAGGTATGACTTTAATTTTTTTAATAACCTGGCCATGTGCTCTTATGATTACTTTCAGCACATTAAATCGACTGCAAATTAAAAGCTACAGTTGTAAACCTAATGGTAATTTCCCTTTGTGGCTGTAAGATCTCTCGGTCAGTGCTGTGTGGATTCAGCCCTGCTGAGGCGAAATGTTGAGGCTCTGATTAGGCTCCACATCTGTTTGAAGTGTAAGTGGCTATACCCAGCTTTCTATGACAAAACACAACCAATCTGAGTAATAAAACATCTACAATTTTTGTTAAGTTGGTCATTGCTTTTTCGCTAAGTTAATCATCAGAATTTTTGAAAGATGAAGGCACTGCTACGGTGTCATATTTAAAGTATAAAAGCTATGTTTCCAATTTTCCATCTGTTTTATAGTTCACACAAGGCATCATGGTTTCTTTTTATCCACACTTCTATGAGGCGGGCTTTATCACTTCGGTCTAGGCATTAATGGTTTTGCGAATGTGAAATAAAAAAGAATGTTACTTTTCTTGCCTGTTTATTTCATTAATTGGACTCAACAATAATCTGTTGTAAAAATGATGCAAACACAAGAAAAGCAAGAATCTCCTCATCTAATGCTAATGGTTGAAAGAGTTGCATTGATGTATGTTTGTGACTGTGCACTGTACAGATCCCTTTTATCTTGACAGTCAGGCACAACATGGGTCCAAACGTTCTTCTCAAATTGTCAGTGGAACATCAAAGTAACCCTCCACCGAGTAACACAACTGTGGTTATGGAGAGCTGACACAATTTTACTGCCTGGTTTTATGACATCCATCAAAATCTAAATGAAGACATATTCAACCCTCAGAAGGATAAATCACAAAGGAAATGCACAGTCCACTTAGCGGTTCCAGTAGCCGGTTCAGCACCAGACATTCAATACAAGCTCTATTCTCAAAGTTAAGATCATAATCATTTAAATTTGACAATAAATAAGAAATGACAGAAAAAAAATGTACAACTGCAATGATTAAATTAAATACTTAAATATATGGGTAGGTTTATGTTTTTTTTTTATATATATATATATATATATATATATATATATATATATCCGCACTCTACTGTAAGCTTGACTCATCAAAACTGTTGAGAGTATCTCATCATTGCAAAAGAACAAAAGTTATGTTTGCTTTTCTATTTCTGTCATTTTAACTTTTTTAATATATTACATTCTTTGAAACAAATAAAAAATACAGCCACCAGAGGGAGATGTTATGATGAAAAGCAAACATTAATCAATTATTTTATTCATTGTATATAGTGGCCCATCCATTCGGAGTGGCATCAGGGCTGGCTCTTATCTTCCATTGTAAGCTGTTGCTCTGTACATGCAGGTCTGTTTGGTAAAGACACACAGGAAAAAACAAACATCCATGGAATAAGTGATAAAAGTAAACACTGGCTTTTAAAGTGACAAATGGTAGAAGTGCATTACAAAAAGCAGGAATTATTACAGACTTATTGATTCAGCGAATTCTCCAGATAGACCAACAAAAAATACATATACAAATATACAAAGTCTGAGGAACAAGACTTTAGGATCTTTCAATACAAAAATAAAGTTGTCACTTTTTACACCACTTGTTGGGCTGCAGGTGGTTATTAAAGACTTAGACTTAAACTAAGTCTTACAAAGATGATTGTAAGAAGTGGGGAAGGAATATAGAATATAGTGAAGGTAAATATGTTAAAATTATCATCCATTTTTGTTGGAAGTATATAAAAAATATTAAGTTAATATCCTTATACCTAAAATCGAATTATATACTTCTCATGCAAATAATACAAGGACATACATACATATTTCCAATTAAAAAAAATTGGATTCTATTAATAGCCATACATGTTTTACTTCCTAAGATTTTGAATATTTTTTCAGAACATAGCTGCACTTCTTAACAGAGTAAAATCAATAACATAGATCTGGTCATAATAGAACATGCAACTTCAATGCATTTCAGCCCCTATGTAGGGCAGCTTAATGTTTATTATCAAACACAATTTTGCTTTGTGGTAATTTGCACTTGCAATAATTCAGTGAAGAATCACATAATATGTACAGATTTGTTAATACAGTTTATTACATTTTATGCACTTAATTTTACTCCTTGTCTTTTTTCCTCAATCTATTGAGCTCCAAGAGCAAAAATGAATCATAGATGCATTTTCTCAATGCTAGCGTATCAATACTTGATATAGAGACTATTTTATACATATTAATACTGCACTGCTGAATTAAACTGCAGCCCCAGCTATTGTTGTTATCTTTGGTTCTTGTGAAGGAATCTATAATGCAGGCAGGGGGAGGGAATAATGATATTGGATGTGATTTAATGATAAAAAAGGAATATATGAATATTTGCCACAGGAAACAGTTGAAATGAAGAAATCAAGAGAAAAAAACTCAGAGGCACACAGAGAGAAACAGGAAGATCCATCAACAAATGAAGAAAGTTAAAATACAGAAGAGGGTGATTACTGGGGTAAAGGACCAGGTCATTTTAATTAGCAGATGCGTCAGCTGTGACGGGACCTAACTTGGAACAATTGATAGGGAGACTAGAAAATCTCAAAGGGGAAACAGAAAAACACAGAACAAAACAGAGTGAAACACAGGGAAGAATAAGAAAATCTCTAAAAAGAACAATAATGTTAAGGAACATAAAACATAAAAATTCACTGTAATTTAAGAAGTAAAATTATCAACAAATGACTTCAATAGAAATAATGGAAATCATTTTTTGTTTTAGTGCAGCAACAAATGTAAATAATTTTATTAGTTTTAACTCTGACATTGTGTTTGCTTAAATATACTCTGAATAATCTCTATATTTGCCGTTAAGATTCAATCTCATTTTCTGCACTTTTTCAATATAAGTAGAATTAATAACCTCTTAGAATTGACATATGCAGCTGTGAATAAAGCCTGCAATCATACAGTCAATATAAGTCAGCAAGTAC